TCTATCTATCTATCTATCTATCTATCTATCTATCTATCTATCTATCTATCTATCTATCTATCTATCTATCTATCTATCTATCTATCTATCTATCTTGTTGCCTTTATCTAAATTGAAGGTTATCTATATATCTGCACAATATTTTTCAACCTTGGAAGTATGGCATAGTCTTTGTAGCTACATAAATGTTACTGATATCAGTTTTTATGGAAGCCCTGTGTAGGAAAAACATGATTGAGCTCTCAAGACAAGAGAAGACAGGACAAGACAACAGATTGCGGTTTACAATATATTACAAACGTTAATGGCCATGGCAGCAATTATTAACCCACACTCCATTTTAGATGACTTCCTGTTTCCCCTACTGTAAACATCTTTATTAGATTGTTGTCAATTAGAGATGAGAGTGTTCTGTTCAGTCCTATCCGCACCGTATGGTAGTCTGACAGGTTGTTCATAAAAGCCTTTATTTCAGAGGTTGTTAACAGCTATTCTGCCAACGCCCTGGATATGCCAGACTGAATCTTGACTCCGTACCCCGTTGGAGACAGCAGCAGGCATTAGTTGTGAGCTAGAAATGTGAGTGTGTCACAAACCACCTCTTATCTCATCTAAGTACTAAGATGCACTTTGAGGTCATATAAATTAAGTTGCAGTAATGTACATAAAATATTAAAGCTTCTGTTTGACACTGTGTTTAATAGGCTAGGTCAGTCATCTATTGAAACTTATTACCACGAGTCAGTCTAATGTTTGGCGACTAATCAACTCCAAATACATTTTTTTGGCATTCTGTTCTGTTAGGGGAACAAATTTCTCTGTCTTAGGTCAGTACGCAAACGCCTGTAATGCAGACTGGTTACTGATAAACTAAAGTGGGCACACTGAAGCTTTGAAGTGGTAGTGGCTCATATCTCAAGTTATGTATAATGAGTTGGGAACAGACTGACACAATGATGCATGCCTCTTTAGAGGTTACTCACTGCAGGCTGAGGTACAGGAAATCAAGGTTTATTTTGTGTTTGCAGATAATCATGAGACTTTTGGAAAGTTTGTCTTACTGTTGCAGCTGTTTTTTAGTTATCGCTTTAACTTTAGAGTATTTAGACCATCAGTTATTAATTTGTGTCAAATAACTAAAAAAAATGTATGGTACTGGTACTGAGTGATTTACTTTTATATTGTGAAAGAACATGTCTCAATGCTATAGTCTATGAGCTGTCAAAGGCTTAATAGCTTAATAATAAGTTAGGGAGCTAGAATATGGTAGGGCTACGTGGATACAATAAACAAAAAAATATCTTTATTTTCATCCCTTTCTTATGTATCTTACTAGTACAGGTTTGAAATCCACTTTGCATTCAGAACTGCCTTAATTTTACATGGCATATATATATACATATATATATATATGCCATGCAAAGTTATGAGTTATCTTTCTCGAAATTTGACTTCGTTTTTTTTAAATTTCGGCTTATTAACTCGAAATTTTGAGAGAGTTAACTCGAAATTTCGAGTTAGCTCTGCCAATCCGTAATCTACGTGGAATGCACACTCAAAACCAGATCACAAATTGGTGCTTTTGAGAGTACGTTTGCTGATAGTAACGCCATGTGATTCAGCTAATACCACAAGGATTTCATCATTCGTGAAGCCACGCTGAAAATAATCAGCAATTTGTGCATTCATGAGTGGCTCTAATACCGGTAGCTTAGCTGTAGCATTTGTAGCTGTGGGCTTCAGCTTCTGGGTAACAAGGAAATTATGTCATTCACGAAAGAAAGATGGAAACTTTTTTTCTGTTGTTTTTTTAGTGGCGAAAATGGGCTTCCATAGTTTTGACATCATAGTGTCACACAGTTGTTGCAGATTTGTCAGCTGCTCATCCAGGATGCAAATCTCCCATTTCGCCACATCCTAAAGGTTCTCTGTTGGATTGAGAGGTGGTGATTGTGGAGGTCATTTGAGTGCAGTGAACTGATTGTCTTGTTCAAGTGACTAGTTTGAGGTTATTTGAGCTTTCTGACACTGCATTACCCTGCTGAAAGCAGGCAACAGAAGATGGGTCTACTGTGGTCACAAATGGATGGACATGGGTCATCATCAATGATCAGGTAGCCCGTAGCCTATAAAACCATGCACATTTGGCCCAATATTAAGAAATACCATTGCATCACCATCTGCAGCCATAAACGTTAATACGAAGCAGGATGGATCAATGATTTTGTGTTGTTTATGCCAAAATCAAATGAGTGTCTAATGACTGTAGTTATTTAAGGAATAGTGAGGTTGTTGTTAGATTTCAGCATCACCTATACAGTATTTATAAATATTAGGAAAGTTTAGCTTAGTGTGATGGCCAGAACATAAGAGAAGTGCTCTTTGGGTCTTGTTTTGTGCTAAACATTTCCTCTTCAAGATAAGAAGGAACTTATCTTCACCATATAAAAGACAGTAGCAGAGAGTTGCCACTGGCCTGATGGTTTTACTTTGGAAACTCTGGCCTAAATTTCTTTTATGTTGAATTTGGATTTTGAGCTGACAGATGAAAACCACAGATGAACTTTAGTTCAACCTGAATTCTAATTCTGATGAACATCTGTTATTTAGTACAAGAGTAGAGAAAAACACATTTAAAATGTTGTATCTACTCTTGCCCACATATAGGCAGATGTTACATGAGTTATCTTCTACTCTATGACCTGTCTAGCTGATTTCCTTGAAAGTATAAAGCCAAGGTGGAATTCAGTGAGTGAATCTGATTAGCATCATCATCTTAAATTTAATTTGATGTCTGGTACCCTTGATGTGACCTAACACTGACCATGAACACTACAGCTGCTCTACACCAGTCCAACATAATGCATTACTGTAAACTTAACAACAGAGATGCAAACTAACCAGCATAGCCTGCATTAAATCCCATAGTATATTTTATTCAACCTTTGAATAACAGAAAGTTAATATACTTCAATTTCCTTTGCAGGAAGTTTCCCAATGTGGAGAAAACATACTGAAACTTCAGCAACACACTGTGTACAGATCGAGTATTTAAAATGATTGAGGAAATTACAAGCTTTACATTTCCAATTCATCAAATATCACTGAGCAGTCCTTACCTTTAAAAATAATCACATTTCTTCCTCTCCTGGTCTAGTCATTTTTACAACTTCATTTTATCAGACCAGCTACTGCCCCTTGTTCACAAGGGGTTTGCTTGTATGTTTGATTTAGAAGATTTTTACACCAACTTTCCTGTGTCTCCTTCCAGTAATGAAGCAGGAGTCTTTTTCTTGTTTCACAAAGATTTACTGAGAAATAAAGCAGTGTATCTTTAGCTAGCCGCCACACTCTATGACATGCTGCACAGAAACAGCTTGTGTGTTTGTTGATGTTTGCTGCGCTGTTTGAATGTTTCATTTGAAATTTCCTGCCACTTAAAGAAACATTACTCGGTTTTATCTTCTACTGTGACACTAGAGAGATGCTTAAGTAACATGACTGCAACTTATTGGCATTGGCCCCAAAACACTGTTCTGGATCATTCCAGCCAACTTTAACCCTGAACATACTGCAATTGTGATACATTAATTTTTTAAACCTTTTTCTTTATGTGCAATAAGCACCGGGAATGGATATACTAATAGGGTTTTCATGTATATTTTACTTTTTCCTCCATTTAGGTTCAAATCAGTTTAATGTTTGAAAGTGTGCAGTGAAGGGAAATAATAATGTTCCTCAAATTTCTCATTTGATTATTTTACAAAGTAGAGACAAGAGACATTTAAAATGTAGGGAGTAAAAGTAAAAGGTTCTCTCTTGATTATTATAATTACATCACACATGTATAACTCGATGATAGGAACAGCTGATTGACCACTGATTTAGGGATTGATTTCTTGCATGTGTTTGATCACTGCACAACATGTCAAAGTTGTCTTTGACACTGTTGCATTTGGATCATTCTGAAACTCTCTGGCAGGGAACCCAGAGAGAGATACGGCACAGTCTATGAGGCATTCATATTTAATAGTGCATAGGTCTTTGTAACACATCACATTAGTCAGGCCTATTAGTAAGATGGATCTTTTCCTCTCACTGCTCTGTCTCAGTGAGGGAAAAGCAGACTTTTTCCATTTTGAGGGATGGAAGAGGAGTTGAGTCTCACCTGGAATTGATCATTGTCATGTAAAATCTTAATTTTATCTACTGACGAGCAGGTAATTAGATCTAATTTTACCATAGCTGAAAGGAATTTATATGTATGACAGCCAACTCTAGGCTCATTATAGCTTCCTTTTTCCTCTGACCTAAGAGCAGAAACAAACACACTGTTCTTTCTTCTCGATTAAAAATTATTAATGAAAGGCAGGTCATAACAAAATGAATTTTAATTTGCATTTTTTTAGCCAAATAATGTTGGATGTAAGAAAAATATAACTCTGCTATTTAAACTGCTCCCTATATTGTGTCTTTCTAATGCCAGAGGCCTTTCTGTTGCTCGAGGCTAGCTGCTCACTCTGAAGGTGCAGCATGAAAAGATGGAACAGCTGCTTGTACCACCAGGTCCAGACAGCTTCCGTCCCTTTACCCATGAGTCACTTAAAGCCATCGAAAAACGGATTACTGAAGAGAATGCCAAGAAACCCAAGGGAGAGAAGAAAAAGCGCAAAAATGAAATTAAGCTCAGACCAAACCGTGACCTGGAGGCAGGCAAACCACTCCCCCTTGTATATGGAGACATTCCTCAAGGACTGGTGTCGATACCACTGGAGGACCTGGATCCCACCTACAGTAATCAGAAGGTAGGTTTGCTTAAATTTAAACTTGAACACTAAGCTTCAAGTTTAGATCTTTTCTCTGTAGTGTTCGGGTTTGCATTAATTCATTATTTATGAAATTGCACGCAGCTATTAAAATTCCACTGTTGGTCTTAAATCTTAAATGAGAAGCCAATAAAAATGATTCATATGAAATTTGTCAGCAGTATATAAAGTTGTTAGCAAAATTCTTGAACCACCCTTAATTTCTTTATGTTTAAAATGCTTTAAAAATAAAGAAATGAGGAGTGGCCCAATACTTTTGCACAGTGTTGTATGATGTTGTATACTTTTGTAAACTATAATGCAAGACAGTCAAAGAGTATCCATATAAGAGTATAAAGATGTATAAATGTCTGTCTGTCTGTTTCTCTCCCCCAGACTTTCATTGTATTAAACAAAGGAAAGGTCATTTTTCGCTTCAATGCCAGTCCAGCCTTGTACCTCCTGAGTGCCTTCAACCCTCTACGAAGGCTATCAATTCGGATTCTGGTACACTCATATCCTTTCATTAAGATATGAATCTGATATGCATGAATAATGTTGATGTTGAGCTGACCTAAGCCCAGGATTACATGTTCACTTTGTTCCTTTATTTACATGAAAACATTATTTTACTTTCACAATAAAATCAGTTACTTCCTTGACAACTGTGTGTAAATTGTTCAATGTGGTGATCATGTGCACTATTCTCACTAACTGTGCATTTATGACACTGAACCAACCACCTGACTGGGCAAAGAACGTGGAGTAAGTGTTCTACAAACATACATAACATACACACAGTGTAGATACTGTGAAGAGTAACTGGTGTTCCTTTTTCTAACAGGTACACATTTACAGCGATTTACACCTTTGAATCCCTCGTTAAAATTTTAGCTCGGGGGTTCTGTATAGGAAAGTTCACATTTCTAAGAGATCCCTGGAATTGGCTGGATTTCTCTGTCATTGTCATGGCGTAAGTACAGGGCTTTTTTATTATTTTTGTAGTTTTTGTCACACATTTGGAAAAGACTCACCAAAGAAAAAAATAATCAGGCTTTCATAAACAGAGACGTTGCTTGTTGGCGTTATTTTTTGGTACTGACTGTAGCTTCATTATTGCTGTTTTGCATGACTCTATGTTACACCTATTGTCATCTCTGTAAATAATAATAATAATGGATTGCATTTATATAGCGCTTTTCGAGACCCTCAAAGCGCTTTACAATTCCACTATTCATTCACTCTCACATTCACACACTGGTGGAGGCAAGCTACAGTTGTAGCCACAGCTGCCCTGGGGCAGACTGACAGAGGCGAGGCTGCCATATCGTGCCGTCAGCCCCTCTGAATTCTAAAATAATTATCATTTTTCTTGCAGGTATGTAACAGAGTTTGTATCCCTGGGCAATGTTTCAGTCCTTCGGACATTCAGAGTATTAAGAGCTTTCAAAGCAATTTCTGTCATTCCAGGTAAGCAGTTACCATATTTGTTTTGTTCTTTCATAGTTTAACAGTACGCTCATCCAATTGCCCACCCTTGAGCAGCTATGGACCCACCAGTGCCAAATTTATATTATCACACCTATTTCACAGAGTTGTTTCACCAGTATGAAAATGAACAATTCTTAACAATCCCAACCTATAAAATGTATGTCATCTTATAGGTGGTTCTGTAGATGGTAATGAAAAAAGAGAGAGAGAATCTGCTCTTATTCTAACTTATTTCCAAAAGATCAACAAGATGGATTAAATAGTGGTGGCACTGGGTTTAGACAAACAAACAAACAAAAAAATATACTAAAAAACATGGATGCGTTCTAAGTGGATTACCACTAAAGGAAAAGCTCACTGGTATCCCTTTGTATATTTACTGTCTCTCGACTGACTGCAAGTGATTTTGTGTTTACAGGCCTAAAGACCATTGTTGCTGCATTGTTCCAGTCAGTGAAGAAGCTTGCTGATGTGATGATTCTCACAGTTTTCTGCCTGAGTGTCTTTGCCCTAATAGGTTTACAACTGTTTATGGGCAATCTGAAAAATAAGTGCATACTAGAAGAATTTATACAAAGCTATTGGAATAACACAAATGTGACTGTGGACTTTGAAAATAAAAGTAAGTATTTGATCCCAGAAAAAAAAAAGAAATTTAAAAATTAACACTCAAATCTCAAATTAACACATAACAATTAAAAATTGAAATGAAAAGTGTATATTGCAACACAGAAATCACAGCTAGTCGAGATAATTTACTCAATCACTGCTGTACATTGCAGAGCTGTACCCCATTTCTACTGTTGATACTTACATCAGTATTTGTGATTGACCTCCAACAAACCACTGCTATTAAATACTACTATTTTCTCTCTGTTCCAATCAGGTCTTTATTATTACCTTCCTTCGAATAGCAAAGATCCACTGCTTTGTGGAAACAGCAGTGGAGCTGGGTAAGCAAGCTTCCTCTCCAGTTACCAGAGTACTGAATAAAGTCCATATTAAACACAACCCCAATGCCAAAAAAGTTGAGACCATGTGTAAAATATAACTAATAACAGAATGTAACAATTTCCTCATATAACCAAATTTTATCAACATGGATAACAGAAAACACATCTCAGCTTTAAAATGAGAAAATGTGCCATTTTAAGAAAAATTCTGGCTCATTTTGAATATAATGCGCTGTGGTGCCAGTTCCTTTAGAGCTTAACAGAGTCGATTTCTTGCAGGCATTGTCCAGAGGGGTATATATGCTACAAAGCAGGAAAGAACCCAGACTATGGTTACACCAGTTTTGACTCATTTGGTTGGGCCTTCCTGTCACTGTTCAGACTGATGACCCAGGATTATTGGGAAAACCTTTACCAGCAGGTACATTAAAAATGTTATTGTTGTCGGTGATCCTTGTTCTTCTTCACTGGCCAACTAGTCTGATAGCATTTGTTGTAGACAGACTGTTCATACATCAAAAGACAAGCTTGATTGTGCTCTCGGTGCTTCTATTAAGATTTTTGAAATTTTAGACTATTTCAGAAATATTCCAACCTCTTTACTTTCAATTTTTTGGCTGCACCAGAAGCAAACTACAATCAACAATGCCACTGCAGTTTCTCCAGAAATTGCGTTTAGTTAACTTTGTTTCTATGAAAACATCTTTGGTTGTTTTTAAAAACACTTTTAACCTCACGTGGTTCAGATTGTTCCATATTTTCTTCTCTGAGGACATGAAATGGCAGTGCCTGCTGTTTATGGGAAAAGCATTCTCCTACCACAGTATTATAGAGAGTATTCAGAGCTTTCTGTTTAAACAAACATCTAAATGCCGTGCAGGTGCATCTTGGTCAAAGGAAAACAAGAGTCCTACTGAGGCAAACATAGGCAAACATAGTTTCAATGGCTGCAAAAAAACATGTGGGTGTACTGCAAATAGGCTACTGCCTACATTGTACTATCAAGAAAAGCAAACAGTAATACAATAAGACTCCCATAAGCAGGTCTTTTAAGCACTCTGCACTAACTTTGACTAATAATAAGCCATCAAATGATCGCATTTCTTGAATGTGCAATGGAACAGAAACGGTTTTGTTTGTTTGATAGTTATATTTAAAGTCATATTAACATTTATCCATATACACATACAGATTTGACAATCCATCAAATAAAAAAGTACTTAATATATATTACTGAAGAAAAAAAATGTAGGTAATATGCAACTCTATTAAACTTTTGTCACATTCCCCTTCTCTCCATGAGACATGTGACAATAGCATCATGGATGATTTATAACACTAAACACTAGAGTCCAGTGTGTCACTGTAACTAATTTTGCAGTGTATTTATGTCATAACTTTTGTATTTTGTTTTTTTTTTTTACATGTACTACCAGATAATTTGGCTGATATAGTTTTGGTCTCAGGCAAATGAATATAAGAGCAATTATGTTTTGTTGCTACAGCATAATTACATAGATGGTAGTGGCTATTTCAGTTTTAGAGCAAGAAATAACATAAATGCAAAATGTGGAATTCAAAGTTTAAGGTTTTTACACACGCTGAATATGAAAACATGGAGTTTAGAGGAGTTAAATGGACAGGCGGGATTTGTAGTAAATTAGCTGACAAGTTATTAATCTTCGTTTTGTTGTTACTATTACTCTATAACAATGATGAATGAAAGAAAATCAATGTGAAGATCAATGAAAGACATCGACTTTAGATTTTGAAATTTGAAACGATAATGAAAGTGATTTGTTTGAGGTTTTACCAAGCTCTACTGTGATTTTCTTTTATACCTAGAAAATTCACTTTTATCATCTTTACTTCTGAGTTGAGAAATTCTAGAAATATAAGTTAACATGTGCAATCTTTAGATACACCTCTATTTGAAGGCCCTCTAACTTTTAAAATATCCACTGTATTAGGGTGGATTTTTGCATGTCTCCACACTTTAGCACAGTGTAGTCATGTCAGCCAAAGGCAGGTATATAAAAATATTGTGAAAAATTTTAAAAAGTTAGAATAAAAAAAGAAATACGGGAACCTAGTGTTTTATGTTAAGTATAAATACTTTATTTGAAAAAGTGCAAAATCTTGTTTGTTTTTTCGTTGCAGACTTTGCGTGTATCTGGGAAGCCCTACATGATTTTTTTTTTGCTCATCATATTCCTTGGTTCCTTCTACCTGATCAACCTAATTTTGGCGGTTGTAGCCATGGCCTATGAGGAGCAGAACCAGGCCGCTGCAAAGGAAGCTCAGGAGAAGGAAGAGGAGTTTAAGGCCATGGTTGAGCAGCTGAGACAACAACAAGAGGAAGCTCAGGTACATTGATTGAGTCCTTAAATTTCTCTCAAGATATAATTTTAGTTAAGTCAAAATGCATCTTCTTTGAAGTACTGTAAATTCAATCAGAATAGAATAGAATAGAATAATCATTTAACTGTCCCACAAGGGGAAAGAAACATACACAATTTTTTTCATACATATTTATATCCAGGACAAATGTTACTATAAACAGAGTACTGTACAGTTATTAAATTAAATAAAATTAACTACAGATAAGAGGCAAAGCCAGGTTGTAGTGCAAATCAGTTGATTAAATTATTGCAGTTACAGAGCAGATGTAAACATCTATGATTGTTGGGAGCATTTTTGATTGTACAGTCTGACAGCTGCAGGGAGGAAGGACCTGCGGAAACGCTCCTTCATGCATCTAGGATGCAGCAGTAGCAATCAGTTTTGCAATTTTGTATTTTATATAACTGTATGCTGGTTGTGTAGTAATTTTATATAATATCTACACGTTTAAGTGGTAAGTGTGATTTATTACCTATATAGTCATTCGAGGGCTTTTCCCTTTTTTATTTAGGACACTTTTTTTTCCTTTCTATGTTCATATTTTACCAGTAGAGAAATCCATCCACACATTCTCATGACCATTTATTCAGCTAAGGTCTCTGGATTTGGGCTCCTGTTTTATTTAAGACTTGCCTCTCTCTTGGGAGGTCTATGGAGGTTGCAAATCTATCACTATCAACAACACAACTATTTACACCTACAGCAAATTTTAAATCTCAACCAATAACATTTGGAGGCAATTGGATTACCTGGAGGAAGCTTGCACAGGCAGACTGGCAGAATGCACACATGCAGAATGGGCCTAACTCTCCAGGAGGTTCACATCAAGAATCAGACATTTATCAGCCTGTTTACCATCAGTGTCTTATCTTCCCTCTTCTAGGCAGCACTAGCTGCTGCAGCAGCAGTGGGTGGGGAGGCCGGTGATAAAGTTGGTGGCACAGAGAGTTCCTCTGATGCCTCTAAGCTGAGCTCCAAAAGTGCAAAGGAGAGACGCAACAGGCGAAAGAAAAAAAAGGAGGAAGAAGGAAAAGAGACCGAGGGAAAACTTCCCAAATCTGAGTCACAGGACAGTATACAGAGGGCTCGCAGTCGCTTCTCTGTGGATGCAAACCTGCTCAAATATGACATGAAATGCTCATCTGCACATCAGGTATTTTTCTATGCCATGAAAGCGATATTATCTTTTGGGTTCTAAAGCTCCGTTCACATCTTCATGGTGTATTATATTTTATTACTATACAGTACTTTATTACTGTAGCTTTACTACACTTATTGTAAATTACTCTAGAATGAAACAATCCTAAACAGTTGGGACCCTATACAAAATGCAAATAAATACAGAATGCAATTTTTACAAATCTCATATTTTATTCACAATAGAACACAGGAAACATATCATCTGTTTAAACTGAGGCATTTTACTATTTAATGAAAATTACTGTCTCATTTTGATGGCAGCAACATGTTTCAAAACTGGAGGCAACAAAAACTTAAACCTGAACCTGTCCTACTTGTTTTTCGATATATTTCTGGCATTGAATTTCCGATTTAGCCATTATATTTCTTAAATGGCCCTTTTCCAGATCAGACTTTTGTTATGTTTTCGATCTTCTACTGTGAATACAATTTGGGTTTATGTGCTTTGCAAATTAGTGTATTCTATTATAAGTTACATTTGTTCCAACTCGGCTTGTACAAATCCATTTTTTTCACAATTTAAATTAATCTTTTTTTATTTATTTAAATTGCCAAATTATAGTGGCATTTAATGCAGTGTTCAATATGGTGAAATATTCATTGTTGACATTTTTCAATATAACTTTATTTCAAAATCATGTAAAAAGTACTGACAGTACCAGTTTTAAATTCACTCCAGTTTCAGTAATTTATTAAAATGACAGTCTGTGATCACTGTCTTTAATTTGAATGGCAGATATATATTCAGAAAGCTCTTTGTAAGCCTTGTCAGCGAGAAGATTGACTGACTTTTGTCAAACTCTTGCAGGGCTCAAAATGACTGAAAGGCAGGAGAAGCAAATGGACTGACAATGTGGCTACCAAATTTAAACTTACACATTGCAGCCATTTGATTTTTTAGGTTGTATGTGTATGTATTATAATTTTTTAGGATATTTAATATGGATTTACTAACTTTTCTAAACATTCATGAGCTGCTAACAAATTGTTTTGATTTCTTTTATCTCATGTCATTAATCTAAATGCAACCTTTTCTTTACTGCCATCACACTTTTATTGCCATCGGTTTCATCACTTTCATCATCATCTTCTGTCTTCATCAAATTCTTTAGTTCCTATCATATGCCATCATCAGGATATATTTTTCATGAGCAATTTCCTTCTTGCAACAATTCATCATGATCATCGTCATCATCCCCATAATCATCATGCTTTCCTTCTCCACTATCATGATCATTATCATGATCTTTACTGTTCTCATTAACAGTTTTAATTTTGCATTTTTATTGAAATCATCATCATCGTGAAGTTTTTCTCACCAAAGAAATCGTTCCTTTTTTTCTTCATTTGTACATATGAAGATCGTTGTCTCTCTCTTCTGTCCTCTTTTTGATTGTCATATATCACATCCATCGGAGACTATCTTTCTCTCCTAGTCTTTTCTGAGTTTTCATGGACCCCTCTTCTCACCCAGAAGGAATAGCAAGACCAGCCTTTTCAGTTTCCAAAGTCAAGCCCAGGATGTGGGCTCAGAAAATGAATTTGCTGATGATGAGAACAGCATTTTTGAGGACACCCTGAGTCGGAGGGGCTCTTTTTTTCTTCCCCAAAGGTGTGATCGACGCAGCAGCAGTATGAGCCAGTGCAGCTTCTTTTCACATCGCAGATTTCAGCCCCGTGAGATCAGGCACAGCTCTGTAGACTGCAATGGCGTTGTGTCTCTGGTGGGTAGGAATGCACTCCCTTCATCACCCGGGGGGCTCCTTCCACCTAAAGTGACGTTAGATATGGCCTCCACTGGAGACAATGTAAGAAAGGGTTCTGTTGCCCAGACAGCCCAATAACTTGCTTACTGTATTGCTCTGTTTTTGTTTGTTTATTTTGGCCTTTTCATCTTTCTGGCTCTTATACACACACATTTTATTACACACGTATGTCACAAACTATGCTTGTCAGTTTTTTGTTTTGTTTATTTCTCAGTTATTTTAGCAAGCTATGCAGCTTAGCATAGCATTTCTAAACTCAAATGAACCTTGGAATTTTAACTTAAACTTAAACTCTTCCTGGGTCTATCAATGATACAATAATGGACTCTTGGTTATTGAAATGGCTCAAGTGCTTTTGATTTATACTGCTGTTTTTTGCTTTTGGACAATGATAGGCAGAGCTGTAGCTTCTAACTATATGATCAATGTACCAATACTATGTCAGTTATCCCAGAGCTTTACTGTAAGATATTCTTTTTGGATAGTTTAAAGATATGCAGCTTTCAGTGGAACAGTTTCCTCTGCTTTTTTTTTTTTTTTTCATTTATTTAGTAAATGTTATGCGATGATAAATATTTATGCTTGTACTGTAAAATGCAAGATATTTTTGTATGGTTACATTTTATGTGTAAAAATTGTTTCTATCCCTAGGCTGACACCACTGACACAGAATATAGACAGAGCATTGGAGGAATAAACCAGGGATATATGGACTACCTTCAGAGCCCAGAGGCCAGACAGAGAGCTCATAGTATTGCTAGTGTCATAACCACCACAATGGAGGGTAGGTGTTTTTCACCATGGCATGAATAGCCAATCCTGACTATATCTGTTGTGTTAAAAAAGTTAAATTGTACTTTCACACAAAATATGTTTTGCAATCAGAACTTGAAGAGTCACGGCAGAAGTGTCCTCCTTGCTGGTATGATTTTGCCCACACCTTCCTAATCTGGGAGTGTTGTCCAGGATGGCTGAAATTAAAAAAAATTGTCAAACTAATCGTGATGGACCCATTTATGGATCTATTCATCACCATCTGCATCGCACTAAACACATTGTTTATGGCCATGGAACATTATCCAATGAGTGATGGGTTCCAAAGCATGCTTGCTGTTGGCAATAAGGTTAGTTCAATTTAGAGAATATTTTTTAAATATAAATATCTATTGATTTTATTAATCTTCACTGGGGTTTTTCTTTGTGTGTGTGTGTGTGTGTGTGTGTGTGTGTGTGTGTGTGTGTGTGTGTGTGTGTATAGATATTCACCGGCATCTTCACGGCTGAAATGGTCTTCAAGGTGATTGCACTGGATCCATACTATTACTTTCAGGAGAGATGGAATATCTTTGATGGGATCATTGTCAGTTTAAGCTTGATAGAGCTTTGTTTGGAAAGTTTGAAGAACATGTCTGTTTTGAGATCATTCCGATTGGTAAGTCTAAATATAATTTAAACTTGCATCAAGAAGCAAGCGAAACCTTTGGAATTATCTGTATCTTTGTATACATTTATTACAGTGTTTGCCTGTGTTCAGTATATTCAAACTTGCAGTCACTTAGCAATTAATACCAAAAAATCTGAGTTGGTTAGGAAATACCAAACCTGAAGAGCAGGTTTACTCTGCTATAATTAAATAAATAATCAAACAATATGTTACAAGATCCACTCATCCACTCAGCACCCTGCTGTTTAAAGCTTTGGCTTTGTTACCTAATGCTATAATCAGACTATGAAAATAGTGGTCGGAGACTGTGGCATGATTGAAATTATTGCAAATAAGTGCAATGAACTTACTCATTGCCTTTGAAATGGTTAGTTCTATGCAATTACTGGGCAACCACAGATTTTTTTTCCCACTCTCAGCCAGAGGTTGTCATCCTATTTTTACTCTAGTGTGACTCAGCCATTAGATTTCACACCCCTGACATGCCGACAGAAAGAACATGCAGCACAGCATACAATGTAAAAATCCCAATGTATACCATTATAAAAACATTTGATAATAAAAATAATTTTAGCTGTGAGGGAGCATTATAATTTGAGGCTGGTTTACTGCCACTATCTCTGGTTAAGCACTTAAAAAACAAACAAAAAGAAAGACAAAACTTGGATCTACATAGTTCCTAAGGATTTATATGCTTCTATTTGTAACAAATGCAATAGCATGTATGTTGTGTTGCGTTTTGAGTTAGGAAATAACTTCTGTTTCCTCTTCTTTTACAGCTTAGAGTATTCAAGTTGGCTAAATCCTGGCCCACTCTAAATAAACTGATCAAAATAATTGGTAATTCAGTGGGGGCTTTGGGCAACCTGACACTGGTCTTGGCCATTATCGTCTTCATCTTTGCTGTGGTGGGCATGCAGCTATTTGGAAAAAAATACAAGGACTGTGTGTGTAAAATTTCTGAGGACTGCACACTTCCTCGTTGGCACATGAATGACTTCTTCCATTCATTCCTCATTGTTTTCCGGGTGCTTTGTGGAGAGTGGATAGAAACCATGTGGGACTGTATGGAAGTGGCTGGGATTCCCAAGTGTCTCACTCTCTACATGATGGTCATGTTTATAGGAAACCTTGTGGTACATTACATTTTATGGTCAATTCATTAATTCATTAATCTGTTTAAAAATGTAATTCCCAATTTAGTAACCTGTTCATTATTCAGTTTTACAGTAATATGTGCTCTTTTGTTATTATCAGTTACAAATCTTATCTTGTATATCATTACCTTATAGGTATTGAACCTCTTCTTGGCTCTTTTGCTGAGTTCATTCAGTGCTGACAACCTGGCAAAGCAAGAAGATGACCCTGAGTCAAACAATTTGCAAATTGCCATGGCACGCATACACAAAGGCATTGCCTTCACAAAGTCGGTGCTTCGAAGCACCTGCAGCAGCGCCTGCCTCAGAGATAAGAAGCAAAAGAAGGATGAGGAAAAATCTCTGGATGAACTCCACAAACCTTTAGGGTCAAACGGAATCTCCAATCATGGCAATGGAGAGGTGATTGGCGTGGACAAAACTGGGGACAAATACATAGTCAGCAGCAGGAGTGATGATTCCATAATGTCGTTCATCAACAACCCTAGTGTGACTGTCACTGTTCCTATTGCTATCGGAGAGTCTGACTTTGAAAATCTTAACACTGAGGACTTCAGCAGTGCATCATCAGATGCAGTAGGATGCCCTGCGGTAAGGATCCTGTTGGTCAAACTGCTCTCTCTAGCATCCTGATTTCTGTTTTAAAGCACATTTTTTAAATGACATTGCAAGTTAAATGTTTATGACATGTAATGCAATCACATAGGAATTTGGTTTAAAAGAACACTGTTGGTGAGGTAAATTAGATATTCATTACCATACAGCAAAGGACAGAATTGTTAGTCGTCTATAACTTTTCACAAATTTTTCCAAGTCCTGTTTAACAGAGAAAGGAATTTTAACACATCCTAGTGTTCATTTCCAAACATCCTAGTTTTTTTTTTATTCTTACATTATTTTACTTTGCACACAGAAACAAAATTATTTCACAAAAACTTAAAAATACCAGGTTCAAAATTCCAGAGTATTTGAAATTCTTCTCTTGCTACATCTGCCAAGCTTGTTCTGTACTGTGTGGCTCTCTTTGAATTTCTTGATGAAATTTCTTCCCTTCCTGACACTTGGAAGTGCAGTGATCACTTTGTATATCCATCTCCTGAGCATGAACAATTGCTTTTCTCTAAACTCTTTTGTCTAAACTCATTTATTTTGTTTTTGGTAAGATGCTGTCTCAAGTGATGGCTCAAGCCCTACCTGAGGTTTTCATACTGTGTGTAAATTGGAAGATAACTTTCAGGTTTAATTGAATTTTACAAGCTTTGAACATGAAAAAGCTCAAGCACCTTATTGCACAGCAGAGGTATATAGTATGTCTCAATAAAAAAAGGTCAGTTTTTCATTATAGTGACTCTGGTCATTTGGGGGTTTTTCCATTCTTGTATTGTGTGCAAATAGAAGAAGTGAAGTGAAGTGAAGTGAAGGACTTAGCCTACAATCTACAGTCATGGCAATGACATGTATCATGATACTTTCCCTAACTGCACATATACCATAGCCTTCTAACAAGAAGAGACCATATAGACGGGAAAATACCAGTGTGCACATTACATTATGAGCCATTTAAGTCTGAGTGCTAGGGAGCTTAATCCTCCTACTAAGAGGACGGTGTTTTGTGTTGTAGGAAAGGAATATATTGAGTCTCTATAATATTACTGTTGCATTCTTATTGCTGCTGTCCGTGTATGTATTTATTATTTGGATGGGTAACGGAAAAAAATAATATTTCTTGGCAGTATTTTAAAGGAAGGGTTGTATTGTTTCTGCTTACTTGTTGTTGCTTGATACAGATGCTGTAAGAACTCCTTACAATACATCAGACTCATCAAAGAGTGCCCTGCTTATGAGAAGAATCAAATAACCCTTTAACAGAGATTAAAGGGTTATAATTCTTTGATTACTTTAATTCACTCACTTGATTAGTTTTTTCTAATATGTTACCCCCTCCCTCGTGTATGTTAATGATTAAACAATTATTTATTTAACAAAAAGTAAGTCAAAATATATATATAGAATTAGCATGTGACATGTACACCCCATGATTCAGTAACTTACTGAACCACTTTTAGCAGCAATAACTTGAAGTAACTGTTTTCTGTATGACTTGAGAAATCTTAGCCCACGTGTTTTTAACATTGCTTTGAAGGCCTTCATTTATGAACACATTTTTTATAGCCATTATGTTGTAGATCTGTTGATGTGGTTGGGACAATTTTCCTATTTGGGCCACGTTTTAGCTTTTGGACAGATGCACTCACATTTGACTTCAGAATACTTATAAAAAGTAGTTTATGTTGGACTCTATGACTCTTTGGCAGTTGGTATGATGTGTTTGCTTTTCACCAAACATGGCACCGTGAATTATGAGCAAACATGTAGTTTGTTAAAATTCAGTTTTTCACGAGTTTTTCAAGCCATGCTGGCACGTTGTTTTTAAAGACCAGAGGCTTTCTCATGGCAATCCTTCCAAACAGGTCATAATTGTTTAGTCTTTATTTAATTGTACTTTCGTACTGTCAAACCTCTTGAGTTTTTTGTAGTTTCCCTGAGCATTGCATGGCCTGACTTTGGGGTGAATTTGCTGAGATGTCCACTCCTGGCAAACTCAGCCAGGAGTGGATGGTTTAAAATGATTTCCACTTGTGGTTAAACTTTCTGACTGTAGAATGATGGACTTCATACTTGTTCAAAATGCTCTTATAATCCTTCCCAGATTTATGGGAAGTAAAGAATGCTTCTCTAACTTCACTGCTGATGCCTTTCCTCCTTGGCATTGTGTTAACACATACCTGAGTGCTCAGACCAGCAAACTGCCAAAACGTCTGCTTTTATAGATGTGCTCACACCCGGAAGTGTGTAATATATAACGTTTTGTAGTTCATCTGAGGTTGTATTAATTAATTAATGTGTTATTATGTCCTGATACACATCACCTAAAAGGAGTACTTTCTTTTTACAGTGACTGTGCTGATAGACTAGAGCCCAGTGTACCACTAAACATAAAGGATATTTTTAATGATAAATATCCTGTAAGGTGTTAATATGGTGCCTATGATTTTTCAGGATTAGTAAAACACAGTGGTAATTAGCCATTATTTCTGGATTTCAGCACACAATGAGTTAGCTTTGCTATAATACTGTTGATTATTCAAAATAGCTTGTATTTTAAAATCAGCCATATTGTGTTGATTTGTGACTCTTTGTTTTCCATAAATGTAACATTAAGCTCCCCTTTTCAGATTTACAGTTGTAGAATGGATGTACAAAGCATCATTACATTAACAGTAGGGCATACAATGTATCAGAGTAACATGCTTACATTATTCCCTGTTCTGCATTAGCTGGTCCCAGGGCAGCCAAGTGCTTCTGCATTCTCCAGGAAGACATTCAAGCTGTTTTCATACTAGCTATTAGGAGACACGCCCTGCAGATAGCTATACAACAACAGGCTAAAGGAGTGAACTTATGGCTACTGCAAAGCATTGCCAGGCTTTAAATTTACCAGTCTCTCTCACTATCTATCTATCTATCTATCTATCTATCTATCTATCTATCTATCTATCTATCTATCTATCTATCTATCTATCTATCTATCTATCTATCTATCTA